AGATAAAATTATGAAACATATGAATAATCGATTATTAAGTTTTATTTTCCATTTTCGTTTTGTTTATCATGTGTATCAATTGTTAGCTATTGTTTATACGATTTCATTTGTTATAATTTCATTGTCAGCTGCTTCTATTTGACTACCAAATTCATATAACAATGCTTCAAAATCATTACATGAAGCTAAAATCCAAATAACTTCGCAACCAACAACGTCGAGCATGTCACTTTCAGCTAAGATAAAATAAATAAAACTATATTTATAATCACAAAAAAAATTCATACAAACCTGGTAAAAAATTGTATGTACCAAATTTTCTTTTAATTTGATTAGGAGGGTGTGGGTGGGTGTGGGTGTGGGTGTAGACAACTATTCACACACCCACCCTCACACCCACACCCCACATCCACCCACACCCAACCATACCTACCCACACCCACATCCACACCCCACACCCCCACCCCACCCACCCCCACCCACACCCACCTACACCCACACCCTATTAATGCCAACATCAACACCACCAGTAAACAAAAAAAAAAATCTTATTTATTTTTTTTCGTATTTATATTTCAATATGGAAAACGAACTTCAATTTCAATTCCAACAATGTCAAAACAAACTAATACAATGATGATAACCCAGGTCGATCGTTCCGGTCACCGGATACTGCAGGAACCGGCAGGAAAGACGCGGAAAAATCGCCGGTCCCTGCAGGAAAACACCGGAAATCAACGGAACATGGAAGCAGTATTCCGGTCGGAAATTTTTCGGACTTTTTCCGACGGATTTCCGGCCGGTTCCTGCCGGAAAGAACAGGAATTGGCTGGAATCCACCGGAAAAAATCCGAAAAATTTCCGGCCGGAATACTGCTTCCATGTTCCGTTGATTTCCGGTGTTTTCCTGCCGGGACCGGCCGGTACTTTTCGACCTGGGAACATGTTCAAAATGTTTTCGTGTAAGTAATCCTAATGCTCGTTTTTGTGATTGGTGTAGTGCATATCCTGATCATGCATCTACATCAATAGAATGTACAAAATGTCATACTAATAATGATTCATTTGGAAAATTTTGTTCAACATGTGGATGTGTTATTGAACCACCATTACGTATTATTGATACACGTCTTTAAAATGATTTGAATATTTCATCGTCATCAATGATTGCTAGTGTATATTAAAATTAAAGAATAAAAAGAAAACAAAAAAAAAGATTCTTGTTTTCTATAGACATTAACACGTAATTCAGTTAATCCTGTATGGCTTACTGCAAATACAACATTAACTAATTATCATCAATCATATTCAACAATTAAAAAAGAAGCTGCAACACAAACATATGGAATTTATTATCCAAGCGCAAAAGATATTGATTTAATTATAACACAAAATAAAAAATTATTAAATGAAAAAGAATTAAAAGAATATCGTCCAATATTAACATCTACAAGTCCAGGAAAAGGATATTGGCGACAATAATTAGATCATATTTGTGCTCATTTAAAAACTTATGCAGTTAATCGACCAGATTTTCAATCGTTGATTGGTAAGATCTTTAATATTTAAACCAACTAATACTTTTATTTTGCTATAATGAATAATAATTATTATTTAAAATTATTTAAAATATAAATTCTCTCTCTCTATATATATATCTTATATATTAATATTAAAAAAGTTTATATATTATTTAATTATTTTTTTTAGGTGAACCACGTATGGGTAATGTGATTCATGCAACTGTACATGAAAATGAATATCAAGTAACTATACAAACAGTATTTCGTAAACCAGAAAATCTTTCACAATCACCATTTTTTATTAATAAAACAAATGAATATTATCCAATAGATAATGAACGAAGTTCACCATATTCAAATACAATTTATTCTGATAGTAGGCAAAAGTATTCTTTGCAACAAAAAAAACTTTGTTTTTTACATAGATGAATATCCAAGAGAAATTACAGAAAATATTGAGTGTAAGAATAAAATATTTTACTATAATTTATTTTTGTCTTATTAAATTATCTATTATAATTAATAGTCAACTCATGCATTAATTCGATTATTTGAAAAAAAAAATAATAATTATAATAAAAAATCATCACATCAAATCGATATATTAAAAGAAGTTCAACGTTTAATAAAAGAAAAAACTGATGTTAATATTAAAAATAAAGAAGGTTATACTATTCTACAATTGGCTATATGTAATGGATATTATGAATGTTTAGAAACACTTATTATAGATGGAAAAGCTAAATTAGATAAAAAAACGACCGTAAGTTCTATATATATATATATCGAGATTTTAATATCAATTGAAATCAAAGATTGACTGTGTATTTTTTCTTTTTTTGTTCATTGATATTCAAAATGTTAAGAAATATTGATTTTGTTTTGTTTTGTAGACGAGGTAATACAGCATTACATGAATGTTGTTTATTAGGACTTGATGGTGCTGAACCATTAAGAATTCTTCTCAAGTAAGTTTATATTTTTTAATTAGAAATTAAATAAGAAAATAATAAAATTTAATTTTTTTTTTTGATAAAAGACATGGAGGTGATGCATCTTGGTTAAATGGTAAAAATGAAAGTGTTATTGATATAGCAGCAAAACAAAATTGTCCAGAATTATTACAAGCTTTTTCTAAATATCAAAGTGAAAAAATGCTTAAACAACATATGAAAAATTCTTATGATGATCATACAAGAATAAAAACTATTCATGATCCTCATTCATCAGAAAAATTATAAAGAAAAGAAAAAATAAAAGTTTTTTTTTTCTTTCTTCATATTGGATAATAGTTGATGAATGTTTGTTTTTAGTTTTGTGTGGATGAAGAGAATATCTACATTTAAATCAGAAAAAGTAAATTTTATTGGTACATATCCATATGTATCCGAAAGACTTTCTTTGTCCAAATATGAATTAACAGTTTTTTTCATACAATATAATCACAAAGAGTATACATTCACACTAATAAAAAACATATCGTATTTTTGCACTTCGACACGTTAAATATTTTTTGTTGTTGTGGGAAATCGAATTACTATTTTTTCGATAAGATTCAGTCATATCAAAGTGATCCAATCTTGATCATTGATTTATTTTTCAACATGTTTTTTGAACTAAATTTTACTACAGTACAATACATTTTATTTTAGTATTTTGACTGAGCTAAATACCAGAAGTCAAATTTATCGATGATAGAAAATATTCCATATTGTTTCATGTTTTTTTTTCTCGAAATGAAGGTTTTTGAAACAGTCATTCTCATTTATATATCACTCAGATGCTTTCTTACGGTGAAAATAAGAAATTTTTGAACAGTTGTTCGATTTTAAGGCTTTCTGTAACTTCGCCAATTCGGAATTTCGCCAATAGATATTCGCCATTGGCGAAATTCCCTGCGACATTCGCCAATTGGCGAATCTCTAGTATGAAATTCGGCAATAAATATTTATTTTTTCCTTAGTATATTCGCCAATTGGCGAATGTCGTGGAGAAATTCGCGAATAAACTTTTTGTTCGCCATAGTGTATTCGCCAATTGGCGAATGTCTAGTGTGAAATTCGTCAATTTTACTCTGTACAATTATGACTGTACTAACTTGGTGATAGAATATTTAAATATTACTGTGTGATATTTTATATTGAGATTGAAAAAAGAAAGATGAACAGTATATTACTTTTAATGATCTAAACAATTATTTTTTATTGTTGTACTTGTATACACTAGAACTAATTTAGTTTGATCGGTAACAATATCAAATAGTACAGCTGAACTATAAGTCAATTGATTCACATTGATGAATCTCTAGCGTGAAATGCGTCAATAAATATTTATTTTTGGTTTAGTATATTCGCCAATTGGCGAATCTGTAGTATGAAATTCGTCAATTTGGCGAATATCTAGTATGAAATTCGCCAATAAACTTTTTGGTTCGCCATAGTGTATTCGCCAATTGGCGAATTTCTCCGCGACATTCGCCAATTGGCGAAAAGCTAGTTGATATTCGCCAGTGGCGAAAGGTACAATTGGCGAAACAGTAATATTGGCGATGGTATATTTCCCCGATTTTAATGATCTTTTTAACATTATACTAATCATACATCATACATAGATTCTAACGTTCTTTTAACACACAAGGCAGAAATTTTCTCATTGTCACTGTGATTCACATTAAAATTGTACGAATCTCACATGTGGACAAACACAATTTGAATATTAGTTTTTTATGAATCTTGGATATCAATGGAACAAGATGTCTTTTTATTATACCATATATATTCCAAATGAGTTTAATATAAATCAAAAAACATATTAACAAGCTTATAAGTGATGATAAATTCATTCTGTCAGTCTTACTGAGATATAGTCATGATTACATTTCACACACTGAAAAAACGGGAATATAGTAGTACTTGTCTAATACTACTTGGAAATAAAATGCAACTTTCATTATCACATATGGCATCAGTATCCAGAAATAAAACTATTTTCATTCAAATAATAACTGTTCTATCGAAATAGAAAAAAAAAACCAAAGGTTAATTTTATTTTAAGAATTGATTTGAATTAGAATTGAAACTGTGTAGCAGTATGTGACACGAGTAAAGTTTATAACTGCAAGTAGACAATTTTTAAAATATTGTAATAGCAAATCAATAAAAGCTTGCACGAATTTCATTCCTAAATATATAGATAAATATTTTTCTGAGTATAATGAATATTTTGTTTATATAAAGGGAATTTTCTGTCTTTCTAACGACCACTTTTAAACCATGTAAGTATCGATGGAAAGAACACTACAAAAAATGCAAAAGAGATGAAAATAATGACATTATAAATGTAACTAATATCATGATAAATATGAATCATATGTAATTAATAAAAACCTAAAACAATTTATTGTAATACGCTGTAAAAATTAACTGAATAATTGTAATCAC